TTTTACCGTTTTTCAAAATGAAGAGTACTATGGATAAAGGGTCATATAGCAATTGAGCGTGTCAAACATGTTGTGTGCCGAGATCCGAACTCGACATTGGTTTTAGGAGGAAGCGAAATTTCTTGATATTAGGACTATTGTGTATCGTAAGGCATAACGCGGCGTAAAGGGGGAATGGGTGCGTAATTTGGTATTGGTCCTTTTCAATATGCCTGTACTTCCCCTTTACTCAATAATATTGGGGAGCTAAATAAGGGACACGTGCCTGGGTGGGGTCCAATATAGGACTTGTCCGACTGGAGCCCTGGGATGTGAGTCCTGGACCCCGCATCAGCCCGGAGATGTGGGTGCGGCCTAGCCCATCAATTTGTTATATACGAGATTTCTCTGTTCTTGTTCATAAAAATCCCAGAAGTAATTATTGATTTTCGACGGATAAGTATTATGGACCCGTAGGCAGAGCATGGTAACTAACAGACTCTTATTTCTCCAATAAATTGATTAGAAAGCTTGGATATATCCTACTCTATAGCACTCTATTGGGCACCGCAGCTAACAGAATCTATAAGAGGTTAGACTGACTCATAAGTTCTGTTGAGCATCTTATTCAGATGGTATTGGGCGTTTTGCAGGGGGATTTCCTGGAACTTTTTGCGTTCTCGGATGATTTTTTGTGCTTTTTTTACAATATTTTTTTGGAGGGAACATTAAGCATCAGCCTTTTTTTTATCTGTTTTGTGGTAGCTGCTTATCCGACAGCAAAATACGCCTCATCACTATTGAGTTTTGGGGTAAGACAGTTGAGCAACAACACTCAACCACCTTTACCGTTTCCAAGAGGATGCAGGAATACCATACATTAACTAATCTGTGTACGCACCAGTCCACCATTGAGCTTATCACTTCAGTACGATATACTCTTCCCCCATCAAAACCGTTCAAGAATAAGTTTTAACCTTTCAGTGGAAGTGTGCATGTACACTTGTGGTATCCCACTTTACTAAAAAATAATAGAGTTCAATTACACCTTTGTTATCAAAAAAACTCATAAAACTATCAAACGTTACAGAGTAACAATATTTTAAACACACTAAGATTACTAAGACATTAAAATTTATTTTATTTATTTTTTTAAAAAACCTTCAACCACAAAATTTTTGACAGGGCAAACAATATATTTAAGTTTTTATCATAAAAATTTTGTTTGTGACATATCATTTAAAAGCATCTTCTTTAGAAGTCAATGGCCTTTTCTTGTGGGACCCTTAAAGATTCGAACTTTTTTACGCAAGTAATCTGAATCATATTTTTTAATAACTAGTGCCTCCAAACAACCCCTCCAAAGAATTGAACTTTATGCAAAAAAATTGTCTGGTTATAAGAGTCTATAAGGTTTCCTCTTTTACCACCTCCATCAAGCATACACCAAATCCACTGTTCGGGGATTAAAGTTATTCATAATCATGGTGCACTATGTCAGGCTTCTAGTAAAAATTGTGAAATCCATCTCATTTCCGGAAGACGAAGCAATATAAGGAAGTAATTATTTGAATCATTAATCCTCAAGGTGATTAAAGAAATAATATAATTACTTAAATTATCATAATAAAAAAAAAGGACCCTCAACAAAAAAAGTTCCATTTTTGGACTTGTCTCATAAAGCAAAACCAGATTTCTTCACCGTGAGAGGGATAAGAGACCTAGTATATAAAATCAGGGAAAGTCTACTTTTATATTATTGCCTGAAGGTCTTTTTAATAATCCCCCTCTTTGTCGTTGAAAAAGGTGCTACTACTATCTATCATCACCCTAAAGTAAATTAACAATGAAAAAAGAACACGGGGGAGGTTGACTAAATCAAATTTAATTATTCCAAAATTGGTTCCGTAATATTTTTATTTCTTTTGTTGTGTGCAGAGATACCAATTTCTAAAATAAAAATTACAATATACATACTTAGTGTTTACTAAAAATAATGATAAATAAAAAAAAATATTTTTTTTTTTTTTTGAGAAAATTATAAAAAATAATTAGTGTTTACTAAAAATAATGATAAAATAAAAAATTAACTGATATTCTTTAATTTTCTCAAAGTGATCGATAATTTTAGATATGACAATTTCTAAAAATATACATAAAATTGTACCAAACCATATTAGCAATAAATATCCCATTGAAAATTTTCTGTAATTAGAAACAAAAATATTTCTACGTAGCAGCAAAGGAAAATTAAAGTAACAACTCCAAGTACCAATAATATAATAATTCCATGCATTTATTACGAAGCTAAACTCGTGTCTTGTGTTTCTGTGAGCGTGATTAAATTTACTCATATTTCTTCTCATTCATGATTAAGAAAATAATCAAATCATTTAAATTTTAAAAAATATTTCTAATTTAATTAAGCTACTGTCGATTTTGTCTAATTATCCTAAAATTAAAAGATAGAAAATGAAAAATGATAAGGTAGGTTGAAATTATTGAAAATAATTATTTTACTTAATTAGCAGAGATAAGGACACGTTAAGCATGTTGAAATTATTGGACATGTTGAGCATCCAGCGTGGTTAATTCAAGGCTGAAAAGTAATTGTCTTTTTATTAATTAAATAAAATATATAACACATGAAAAAAATAATATCCATATGCAACCACACTCCTAAATATACAATATATAACTAAAATCAACGACTGCTTTATCAAACCACCCTTCTACAGATACAATTACACATGTTTATTGTGATGTTTGGATGATTTTTTTTTCTTACTCCTTAACGTAATTAATGTAATAGTAATTTTTTTTCTTACTTTTTAACGTAATTAATGTAATAGTAATTCCATCCAAAAATCTATGTAATTCTCATTTCATTACAATTTTTCATAGGCTGAACTTGACCAAACTTATCATAGGTTGAACTTGACCAAACTTAACCTCAAGCTACACAGTTCATTATTACCTTTACCATCACCTACCACTTCAACCATCATTTTATCACTGCCCTAATCGCTCTACCTCCACCACCATTAAAGGATGGTGGAGTGGTGGAGTATTTCATAATATATCATTTATAATATATCTATTTTTATGATTAACAAAAATAAAAAATTGAATGATTTATTATGTAGATGGTGTTAAAGTCTTTTGTTGGAATTTAAATGGAGAAATTCATCAAGTGAAGATTTAATTAAACCCATGAAATATCAAGACTTAAGGCATGATTGATGAATTAAACAGTATTTGGTTAGTGCCTTTGGGTATCTTAGAATTATTTAGTATATTGTTAAAATAGAAAGAAAATTTATGTCATATTAAGGCCATATAAAAATATGGTCTTTAGTTTTCAAATACGTGACACAAAAGATTTTATTCACTTAAAATAATATTTGAAAATCTTAGAGGGAAGATTCTATTTCACAAATTGCATTTCAAAATTTGAAATTTTCAAATTGTAATATAAAAAGATTTTTGAGGAATATAATCTTTGATTTGAAATCTTCCTTAGGAAATAGTTTTCTAAATCCTTCCCTCTTTTCGCCAAATTCTGCCTCCAACTTTCCATTCCTTTTTCCTTGTGTTTGTAACGTTAAACTCAGTCCTCTCTAATGCGAAGAAAGAAAACTTGGATATAAAACAAGGAAGGGCAGAAATTTTTAAGGGTAAGAGAGATAAAAACTGATTTTATATTTTCATCTTACAAACTCTCTCATCTTGATATCCTTCTTCCTCATGCTTTTATTGCATAAATTTTAAGAGAAGATTATAATCAATCTTTAGATAAAGATTTTTAAAACTAATATGTTTCATTTATAAAATCTATTTTCCTAGGCTTAATTTGGCATATCATTCTATCTATTATAGGTTTTGTAAATATAAAATAGATTAAAAGTCTTTTAATCTCAAATTGTTGTAAGTGAAAAGCTTTGTGTGTCTTCAAGCACCCTTCTTAGTGGGAGAGTAAAACTTATAAGTTTGATTGTTCTTTGCAAAAACATTCTAAGTTTACTAGTTCTTTATAAAAACTAGTGGGAGTTAAGTTTCTAGTTCTTTGCAAAAATTTATGGGTTATGGTTAGTGCTAAGTGTTAGGATTATTCCCATTGTAATAGGTTTTGCTCTTACCCTTAAAAAGAGTTTGATAATAGAGAATTTGAAGATGGTTTCTTGAGGAGTAGATGTAGGCATGATAAGTACAGAACCACTATAATTTTTATTGTTGATTCTCTCATATTCTCTTTCTCTTTATGATATTGCTTAATTTTTCACACTCACACTTTAAATCTTAATGATATGATGCTATCTTGATTATTCAATCACTCTATATTTTGATTTGTTGAATCTTTGTAATTAATATTGATTTAAATTAAAAATGTTTATGAGTTGTAGAGTTATCTAGTTTGGTGAGCTATTTTTAGATAATCTTTTTGCTTAAGTAAGTTATATAATTTTAAAATCTGAAAATTATCTGAATAATATTGTGTTTCTACTGTACTTGAAAAATGTCTTTAAAACTCTAAATTTTTATAAATCACAATTCACCCTCTCTTGTATATAGTACATGAGGACCTACACAATAAAATTAAAAAACGTGGGAATTGTTACAGTTTTTATATTATTTTATTATTTATAATTAGTGCAATAACTCTTACATTATTTTATTATTATTATGTATAATTAGTGCAAGAACTCTTGACAAAATCAGAAGGTGCTGAAAACGACATGCTTGTAAAATGTCATATGGGTAGGGTCGGACCAACCAAAACTTGGGGAATGTTTGTTTAGATATGACCAAATCAAAAAAACAACTGCAATTAATCAAAATTCTCAATTCATTTGGTTTAGGTAGTCAATAGTTTGACTTACAGCTAAATTTTCTCCTATATTTTTCCAGTTTGGAACATAATGGCTTTTAGCACAATTTAGTTAATAAGTTCAGTGATCTTCGGTATGGATAAACACTCAACTCAAGAGCTTCTTCTTTCAAATGGAAATCTCCAAATCTTCGGTATGGATAAACACTCAACTCAAGAGCTTCTTCTTTCAAATGGAAATCTCCAAACGACAGATTATGTTAGTAAAGAAGCTGTCGTTTTCTCTTTAATACTCAAATGGATTCTTAAGATTGCAATGTTGGCAGCTTTCATTGCTTGGCTTACTGTTGTTTTCATGTATCCGATAAAATCATTTCAAACATGGCTTAAAAATTGGAATCAAGCCTTTGCTGATTCTTTTCTTGGCTTTACAGGTTAATTAGCTTCTTTTTTTTTTTTTTCTTCTTTTCTTTGGTTAATTAGTTCTAAAATTTTGTATTGCAATTTGCAGGAGGTGTATTTCTGATATTCAATGGGCCACTCATCATTATTGCATTACTTTCTATACATCATTATTGCATTACTTTCTATACCATACCTTACCCTTTGCTCCAGGGAAGAGGAGCTCCAGAAGTATGTTTTTAGCTACACACAATTCATTAGGACAAAATTTCCTATTTTTTTATGTTAACTTCATCTTAATTTCTTATTGTATTGGGAGTTAGAATGCAGGGAGAGGGAGTATGGTTTTCAGTATGCCATTTTGTTCTGATTCGTTTTTTATGGGTTTGAATAGTTACATTGACAGAGATAAAGGGGGCAGGGGGCCTTGTCCCCAAGCTCCAATTTTGTTTTTATATCTTACCCCTTTAAACTAGCTTCTTCTTTTTCTTTTATTTTGTTCTCAAACTTTTATTTAAGAAAGATATAGATATTTATTACTTTTATTGATTCAATATATAATAAGACATTTGAGGTATTTGCATATGTATTAATGAAGCAATTATTTTTTTTAAGTTCTAATAAATTATTTATCTCAAAATTAAGAATAATAGAATTATTTTATATAATATTGAAAAAACATTATTTAATAAATGATAATTTTTTTTTCTTTTAATAGGAAAGAGGGAGCAAAAGGAAGAGGTCATAGACTGTGGACATCCCCAGTTGTTGTGGATGGACCTTTTGGTGTAGTTTCTGTGTGGATGGACCTTTTGGTGTAGTTTCTGCTGCAGAGTTTATTGGGATTCTAGTCTTTCTCGGATATATCGCGTGGGTTGCTTGCATTTACGCTGTGCAGAAGATTAGTGTCATTTTTACGAATCCTGAGTATACTATTGAAGACAAATGGTACGGTCTTGTCTTTCTCCTTTTAATTCTATTTTATTTTATATACATAAATTATATTTCAACAAATGTCTCATATAATTTATTTTAGTAAAGAAATTACTTTCGTTTACGATTATATCTTAGCCTAATCGTTACGCTACGTCTTAGTAAACATTGATTATTTATTGACCTTATCTTTGTGGTTTTTATTTTGTAATATTGTATTATTTTTGTTGTGGCCTATCTAGCTAACTGCCAGTCCAAGGCAAGTAGATTAGTGGACAATTGTCATTCCCTTAGGTATAGCTAACAAACTTGGAGTCGGAGTAAAATATATCCAACTAACCAGAAAAAAGGGGAAAGAAAAAATTGCTTAAACTTGAACATATATCCGAATGTAGACTATGCATGCTAACTAGCTAATAAAGAGTGAAAAATGATACTCGAGAAATAAAATGGGATGACAGATATCATTTTTCCCTTAACTAGAAGTTTCGAGTTCGAACTCTGGATATAAAGTCTCTTTAAATATTTATAAGGGAGTGATTTGCTCCTTTTGTGGACTTGTCCAGTGGAAATCCAAATTAATCGGACAAGTTGGTTTTAGAAACCGAATGGTTAAAAACAAATGAAAAATGATAAACCAATGTGGTAGGCAAGAAATACACTAAAATTTGTGCTAGATTTTTAAAAGAATTGTTGAGTTTGATGGAAATGAAGGAGTGTGTTCATTTATAGAAAACTGATTAGTTTTCTAGAAAAGTTTAAACAATAAAGTTTTGTATTCAAATCAGTCAATTTTTTATTTAGAAAACTAGAAAATAGTTTTCTAGTTTTCCAAAATTTAACTAAGATTTGGAATTTTTAGAGTTTTCCTTCATAACAAAAGATATAATTTCCAATTGTTTTCCAATTTTTAAAAATGACATTGTCATAATTAAAATTATAATATTTATAAATAATTTTTCATAATTAAAATTATAATATTTTTATAAATAATTTTTTTAAATTATTTTTCATTTGAAAATAAAAATAGTTTAAGTAAAATAAAATTTTATATTATGCTTCAATAATAAATAAATAAAATTTTATATTATGCTTTAATAATAAATTAATTTTATCATTACAAATACATTATATCCTTTATTTTTAAAAAATTTTACAAAATGGTAAAAAATGATATTATTATTATAAATAATCAATAGTAAATATTTAAAAGCTTTTTACATACAAAATTTTTAAATTTATTTTAAAACATTTTATTTCTTTTAATTATGAAAGTTATGAATAATATTTGAACCTAAATTAAAATATTATTTTTTATTATTACCAAGTGAATACATTTTCTATTTTCTGTTTTCTAGTTTTCATTTTTTAAGAAAACTGTTTTTTTAAAAAATAGAAAATAGAAAACAAGAAATTGTTTTTTGTAAGTAAATGCACCAAAGATTTTCTAAGATTTCCACATATTCCATTAGAATTCGATGTAGAGTTTTATAGAATTGGTGAAACTTTTTTTTATAGATTTTGATTGACTTTGATGGAATCATAATGATTTTTATATATCCAATCAAAATTAATCTCATGACATAATTGAATAAATTAAAAGGTTTTTTAGTCTAATTGAAAAATTGAAAAACGATAAGGGACAAAAAGATGTGTCATTTTCTCCAAACTCCTTTTTTTCTTTGTTAAAACCTTACCGTCATGGACAGTAAAAGACCTGCAATGGCCAGCGTCGCCCTTGCCCATTCCACACTCCTAGAACAATCGTGATGTGGTTGGAAGATCACAGGCTTCTCGTCCCTTAACTGAACAGTGATTGTTAAGGGTGAGCAAACGGTCAATTCAGTTCAAACCGAACCAAACCGATAAAAAAAAATACAAACTGAAGTTTTTTATGAACAGAATGAATCGAACCCAATCGAATTTACCTTTCGAATCGAATCAAACCAGTCAGTTCTATCAATTTTGATCAGTTTTTTCATTTCGATTCGGTTTTAAGGGTATCTGACAGATTTTTATGAAATCGACTCAAATTGAATAATAAATTCAGTTCAAACCGAATAAATCGTCAACCGAACCTTTCTTGATTTAGCCAATCGAATCGAACATAAATGAGTCAGTTCAGTTTTCAGTTTGGTTTGGTCAGTAAATTTGCACACTCGTCTCACCGGAAAATTGCAGAGTTAAGTATATCTTTTAATTTAAAATAAAAATTTTAAAAATATACCTGGTACTCGAAAATCTAACGAAATCTTTGGATTAGAGGATAGATTTGTAAATGACTTCTATTTAAACTTAGCATTTTAAAATCCAACAAAATAAATAATTTTATAGAATACTTCCAAATCAGTAAGTTTTTGAATACTATTAAATTTGTATAAACTCTTAAAAAATGATAATTGAATACTATCAAATTTTTATGGATTTTATAAGAGTCTTAAATGAATACAACAAAATGTTAATAGACTAGATTGAATACTATTTGAATTTAAAATATTTTAAAATCTAATAGAATCTTAATATAATACACCCCTTGATTTAAACTGGTCCTTCTACCCTAAATAGGAGAAAAGCCACCTTTTAGCTTGAGAGAGCCAAGAAATTTAAAAGAAGAATTTCATTATAAAAAATTATATTTTCATTAATAATTATGTTCCTCACTAAAATAAAATAACTTTACGGGATTCAATCATAACGCTGCATTTTAACATTTCATTTTAGTGAATGATATATTTATTATTAAAATGTGAAAGTATAGGATTATGATGAATTTTTATTGAAATTCAAAAGGCTACAAAGATAATCGGTGAAAATACATGATCAAATTTATACATTAGACCATAATTTAATACTATTTGCAAATGATTATTTCACAATTTTTTAAAAATGATTTTACAGCTATTGGAAATTTAAGAATTGATGTTTATCTATTTTTTATTTTTTATTTTTTATTTTTTTATGTCAACCTTGAAATCTTTACCTTCCTTGTTACTATTAATTATAATCTTCTACGGGAGACATTACTAATTGGAACTAATATCTAAATAAAAAATTAAAAAAAAAAATCAACTACAACAAACGGAGCCTTGATGACATTCATTTTTCTTTCTCCAAATAATATTATTTTTTAAATATAAAAATGACACTTTTTTTTTTGAGTATAAATCGGTGAGTTGCTTTATCCACGTATACCAAATAATACTAATTTATAGTGATATACATAGCAATAGATTTTTTTTTTTTTTTTTTTTTTTCTAAAATTTATAGTGAATATACATAGCAATAAGTTTTTTTTTTTTTTTTTTTTTCTGAGGAGCAATTGGTTTTGTTTATTAGGTCATGGACGTTTCGAATGTCGGCACGTGGATTTGGATTGGCAGGGATATTCTGCTTGTCATTTCTGTTTATTCCGGTGGCGAGAAGCTCGCTTCTCCTCCGCCTTGTAAATATCTCATCGGAGCATGCCATTAGATACCACATATGGCTTGGCCATCTCTGTATGCTTCTCTTTACTTTCCATGGTCTCTTTTACGTAATTGGATGGTTCATGTCTGGAGAAATTCCCTCTGAAGTGAGTATTTTTATATTATATTGGTATTATATTGGCTTATTGTTTAAATTTATTTCAGCATTGCAAACTAAGCTAACCGAGTTAAATTTTTTAACTGGAACTCAATTTGGCTCATTAAAAATATTAATAAAGATTTAAAAACTAAGGGCCACTAATTCAACTCCAAATTGTATATGAGCTGAAGTTCTGAATTACCTCATTTAGCAGTTTATGGTTAAATATAAATATATATATATATATATATATATATATATATATACTATATATAATATATTGTTTTTTTTTTTTTTACTTGTTTTTACTTGTTTATATTCTTAAATTCAATTATGGTTCACAAACTTCATTTCATAGTTCGGCTCGGCTTATTAATTAAACCACTTTGATAAGCTGGCTTGAACTCAATTCTTAAAACTTATTGAATGAGCCGAGCTTCGAGTAGTTCGTTACGAGTGACTTGACACGTTTATATTAGTAAATTTATATTCTGAACCTAATTGTGTATATGCATATGCAGCTAATAGCATGGGATGCTACAGACATTAGCTTTCTTTTATAACCAAACCTACAACCCTCATAACTCAATCTCACCGATGTGGGATTGAGCAAATACATTTTTTAATATTTTTTTCCTTTTATTTTCAACAAAAGTGGCTAACATCGAGCTCTTTTACTACGCTCACCATCTCTATATTATATTCATTATATTCTTGGCAATGCATGTCGGCAACTTTTTTATGTGCATACCAGCCGGAGCCATATTTCTTTTCATGGTTGATCGTTTTCTCAGATTTTGCAATTCTCAGAAAACTGTTGACGTCGTTTCAACGAAATGCTTCCCTTGCGGAGTGGTAGAGTTGGTTCTGTCAGCTCCTACTACTACAGGTCTAATTAACTATAATGCTATGCTCTCAGCTCTCTTTTCCTTGGCATTCCCCAATCTTGGCATTCCCCAATTATCTTTGCTCCAATCGCATCCTTTCAGTGTGTCGTCTAGTCCTCTGGATGGTAAAAATCGCATATCTCTTCTCATCAAAGCTGCTGGAGACTGGACAAATGGACTTAAAGACAATGTTGAGACTAATAATAAGATTAGAGCTTCTGTTGAAGGGCCTTATGGTAATCGGTTACCATACCACTTGATGTATGTACTCGTTTTTTACTTAAGATGCTACGTCTAATGAAATAAGGAGAATAATAAGGAGAATAATGCTTAATTTGCCTTTGAACTTCACACATAATGTACAATTTATTTGAAATTGATCAATTTTAATAGGAATTTTGAACTAGGAGACTAAATAAATATATTTTTTGACTGAAATGAGTGTGTTGGTTAAGTCACTGAGCAAAAATGAAAAATGCGTTAAAATTGAGAGAAAACCATGTAATTATTATTATTATTTTCCATAATGTCTTTCACATATGTTAGCGGGTCAAAAAATGGATCAAATTCATCTTTGGATTGAAAATTCTTATTAAATTGATTAAAAACTCCATTTTGGAGTACATTGAAATCATGAATGTTGTTGGGGTAAATTTAGCATTATTTGAACAAATAATATGGACTAACTAAAGTTTTTGTATTTTCATAGGTATGAAAATCTTGTTTTAGTAGCAGGTGGAATTGGGATATCGCCATTCATTGCCGTTCTGAGTGATGTTATTCATCGTATTAATCAAGGAAAGCCATGTCTTCCGAGAAACATTACTCTTGTTTGGGTCCGAGAAACATTACTCTTGTTTGGGCTGTGAAAAAGTCAGATGAGCTTTCTCTTCTTTCCACAATTAACACGAACTCACTTGTTCCTTTACCTTTTGATGTGCTTCATCTCGAGATACTTATTTATGTCACTCGAGAACAAGAATCTCCAATGGTAAGTTTCATATTAAATTATTCTTGCTGCTAATTTTCTTCTACAAGAAAATAATTTCTTTCAAATTCAGTAATTAGCTCGATCGATAACAAATTATTGTCAATTTCAGGAAATCGGAGCATTGTACGAGACTGTGAGATCTGCCTCTTCTATCTCTTCTTTCTCCAGTGGGAATGCCATATCTGCTCTAGTTAGCACAGGGAATAAAACATGGTTTGGAGCTTATGTGATATCCTCAACAGTTGGCTTGGTCCTGTTAACGACTTTACTAAATGTCTTTTATATAACCCCATTTAATATAACTAATTGGTGGCTTGGTGGCATCAAGGATTGCTTCTTCTAGCCTGCATGGTTGGCGGTGTTGTAATCTTTGGTGGTGCTGTGGTTGCTTTATGGCATATCTGGGAGAAGAGAAACTTAGTAAAGATCAATGGCGGACAGGGAAATGAACACACAGTAAACGAGGATTCATTTTTGGAAAAGCTTGCCGGCTCAACTACTGTTCAGTACGGTTCAAGACCAGACTTTAAAGGTACATTTAAATTCATATGATCTTAAATCATAGTGAAGTAAATAAAATAATGAAATGTCAATAACGACTTCTCTGCCTGCAGAAATTTTTGGATCCATATCTAAGCTCTGGGGCGATTTGATGTGGGAGTGATAGTATGTGGTCCTCCAAATCTGGAGTCAAGTGTTGCTGCAGAATGCAGATCAATTAACATGTGCAGAAAATCCGATGATCCGGTTTTCCATTTCAACAGTCACTCTTTCAGTTTTTAGTTTCTATTTCCTATTTTGTTGGGACTACAAACATCCATGTCTCTTTTTAGCAATAATGTCTGATAAATGAATCTAAGTGCCCAATAATGTCTGATAAATGAATCTAAGTGCAGATGAAAGCAAAACCTATAGTTTATGAAAGAATACTCACAGAATGCAGCATTACTTGAAACTTCTTATACTCGCATAAGTTACTGTCACCTGAGTAAGAGGAGTACATAAACTGAAAGCGGAATCAGGAAGCGGAATCAGGAAGCCATTCTACCGATGAAATCTCAAGATGTTGTCAAATAAGCTCATATTAGTATACAAAAAGCAGGTTGTTAGTTATGCTAATTTAGTTAGTTACGTAACAGCACAACTATCTCAAGGTAGAAAAGCAGCTCCTTGCCCTTACTTTCAAGAATGAAGTTTGCTTACCTGTAAACTTTTAGTTGCCATCTCCACTTTCACTTGCTAAGAGTCTTTTCCCAATTTTATTTCCCACTAACAATTCCCAATTTTATTTCCCACTAACAACAAATAAATCAGGTAGAAAAATGTAGAGAAATGAAAATTTGAAAATATTAACCGTTAACTTGTAAGTAAGATCTCTAAGGTTTAGGGTAGAAACCTTAATTCCAGTCCGCCCATCAAAAGAAGTTCCGTATCTACTTAATTGATTTTAACATGTTGCACAATGTATAGCAGGTTCTCAGATGAATGAGATGGTGATTGCTGAAATTTGTTCTCAATCCCGAATTTTTACAAAGAGCTTGGACAGTCAATCAACAATGTTTAGTTTGATTGACAACCGCCATGACCGAGTTACTTACTAGCATTCACCAGAACTCCCTACAAGAACAACATCCATCCTTAAAATGATGAAATCTGTTTACATCCCTAACAATAATGTCCCTCTTTGTAATGCTTGATGCAAGCTTCATAAAAGAATGACAATCCCCACAGATCCGCCCACAGATCCGAAGATTCTTCATAATCCCTGATTGGCAGAGCGGGTTGGTAAAGCTTATGAGTCCAAAAATAAGTGCTAGCTTCTCACTAATGGTGTCTTAAAAGTTCTTCTTTTCTGTTTCCTCATCGACCATCATCGGAGGTCATAGTCTATCTCAGCCTTGTAACCTAGTTTCTTCATAACTTCCAGAAACTTAAATCTAAACTCCTAAATAAATATCACCATTCTAGGATTGTTTTCTCTCCTCCAGCAAATAAAACATGAAACTTGTCTTTAATTTTCCAAAAAATCCCACTCTTTTTTTTAAACCTGTTCCTTCTTCATCTCATTTCTCTTTAGGAGCATCTTTACTTTTTGCCAGCCTTCTTCCACTTCTTATTAAGCAGAATTATGCATTTGACAGTAAAACATAGTTTCCATGCATTAATCCGGTTTCATCTCAAACAAATTCTCAGCTGAATTTCCAAGCTATCAAGGCCATGTGTCCCGTAAGATGCCAAAATTGATCTCCACATGGAAGCTGTAGCAGCAAATGGCAAATTCTTTATCAACTCATGAGCTTCGTGTATTAAACCTGCCCTAGCAAGAATATCAATCATGCATGCGTAGTGAAGGACATTTGGCGACACATTGTCCTCTCCTGTCATAAGCTTGAAATAGCTCCGTCCCATATCAACGAGACCCTTATGACTGCATGCTGACAATAGTGAAACATAGGTCATTTCGTCTGGGCACAAACCTACCTGCTGCATTTTTTCAAACAAAATCATTACTTCCCAAGAGTAAGAATTCTTAGCAAACCCAGAAATCGTTACATTCCATAAAACAATATTCTTCCCTTGAGCATCCAAGAATGCAATATAAGACTCTTTTACAACACTTTTACAACACCCGCAATTTAAGCATCACGGTCCAACAAAGAAGAAGAAGCCACAAAAATTGTAGAACCAAACCCAGTTTTAAAAACAATAGAAATGCACCTTGTCTTCCTTCAATTAGGGCTGCCAAACCTGCACAAGCACAAAATAACAGATGACATTGTGAACCTGGTTAGTAGTTCTATCCCAGTTTGCTTGAAGCTCTGGTAAAAAATTCCCACGGAGCCTCCCTCATAAAGCTGATTTTGCACAAACCCCGCCACATTGAACTCCCGTAACAACACTCTTATCTGACGATCGCTTCAAAAACATAGATAGCAATCCCTGCATAAAAAGCGCACTTTTGGCAAATAAATAATCAAACGCAATGCAGTACGCCACGTAAAACATCCTGCATCAATTGGCCGCCTTCCGTCGAAATGCAATGTAATTGCTTACACGCAAAAGCATTGCTTCTTGCAGCACGAAGCGCATAGGAACACTTGTAAAACCGTGAATTCACTAAACATATCTCCTTTCCTTCGCAAATCCAAGAAAAGAGTAAGAGCTTTTTTGCTCCTCCCCATTGGTTGGGTAATGAATGCACCCATCATCGTATTCCACGAAAACGCAAGGCTTCTCTCAGTGCATTTTATGCAAATACTTTGGCGAGCGAATAATCAATGCAGAGCCCACAATTTAGAATACAATGTTATGAGAATATTTGACGTTAGAGCGTCTCCTTCTTAAGCCAAAATGTATAAGCTGTGCATGGCATGGCCTTTCCTTTCACATGTTCCTCGTCTTTTTGCGCACAATTTTTAAGAGGGAATGCAGATTGGGTAATGGTGTTCCCATTACCGTCTGTCCCAGAAAGGCCTGGTCCGCAATATGGTTTACTTAACTCAGATTTTGTGGTAGCGAACTGCGACCCCGAAAAGTATCTAAAATTTAAATTAAATTGAGTCCTCTTCTTGTACCACCTCACGGCCTTTTCATAAATTTCAGCGATCATATATGCTCAAACTTGTTCTGAGAGACACAGCCAACTCTATTACCAAATATCACCGGAAATTAACTTGCTTTACGTACATACCATGACTTATGGACCAAACCAATGACAGTAAGAATATTTAAATTATTCTGATTTTATCTTTTTATTCCCAGTGTAATGATCAGAATACTTTCCATTTTTAATAAGAAATTTTTATTCTCATTGATTTGGTCCATGAGTAGAGCTATAGACCCTAATTTAGATAAAATTTTTCCGTCGACCGAAATTAACAAACAGTAGCCACAATTAACAGAGTTTCAATTGTCCCTGGCCAATTTTGATAAAAACCGAAACCTACCAAATCAAATTGATCAGATACTAATTGGCAATGATTGATATTTAGCTTAAGAGAAATTATAATAAATTCGGTAGAATGCCTAAATTAACTACTTTGTCCCACTTTTTTTAAAATACTGTTTTATCGCTTAGTTATCACGTTAAATTAAAAATATACTTTCATCTAAGTTTTGGCAATTTTCCGTTAGTTCGCTAAGAAAATCATAGTTTAGATGGGCGAAAAATGTTTTTATTGAAAAAATGGTCATTGGTTCATTTAGAATGTCCAAAATGTCATTGGTTCATCGCTTAATGATGACTTTGGGGAAACCTTAAAATTTTTTTAACTTTCTTTAATTGTGATTTTTCTGACTTTTAAGAAAGAATTAAATAAAAAAGAAAAGACAATGTAAAAAATCTGTTTTAAAAGTACACCCCAACTCAGAAGCCAAATCTTGTGGCAATCGCACAGCTGATTTTGCAATTTCAATGACAAGGGAAAAGTATATCGTGTGGTTGATTTTCATTCTTTTTGGATGCTTTTTTACTTCATTTTTGCAATCATTAATATCCCTTACTAATCCATTTCATTTGAACTTTCACTCTTGAACTTGAGTCTTATTAAGAGTCTTTTCCCAATTTTATTTCCCACTAACAACAAACAAATCAGGGAGAAAAATTTTGAGAAATGAAAATTTGAAAATATTAACCGTTAACTTGTAAGTAAGATCTCTAAGGTTTAGGGCAGAAACCTTAATTCCAGTCCGCCCATCAAAAGAAGTTTCATATCTACTTAATTGATTTTAACATGTTGTTGCACAATGTATAGCAGGTTCTCAGATGAATGTGCGTGAAATGATTTAGTATATTTATGAAAAATGCGTCCGCATTATGAGTATGGATTTTGAAAAATTTTGACATAGTATGATTTATTTATTAAAGAGATGATAGCATGGCAATATATGAAATCTATTCTTATGATAATATTGAAATCTATTCTTATGATAATATTGGAGTTTGAATGTATGAGCGATGATGCTGAAATGTAGAAGAGTTTTGGCTATCAAGATTTTAATTTGGGACTATTGTAACGTAAGGAAAGCTATTATAGTTTTTCTGTAGAATTTTTCGAAAAATTTTTAAGTCACACTTTGAGGATCCATAAGAATTGATATATAAGAGTGTATGATGTATCTTATATTAATTTTATGATCTTAGCATGTTTAGTCATGTGCCTCTAGCACAACATTGACATCCATTGTCTAATCTTTTATGACCGAATAATGAGTGTTACAGATATAACATTACATGTTTGACGTACTCATTTCTCCAATCAGGTAAGATAAAACTTACCACCTCCATCTTCATTAATACATCATACTCATCATGAGAAAACAAATAGATGTGATGATCTGATAAAATGTACCAAATGAAAGTTCCTGCGACCATAAACCTTTTAAAGTATTTGTACTAGAGAGTTTGTCCCTCATATTCACAATACTGGTAAATATATTCTCTAACAAGCTACTTAAGATTTATATTCAATAAAATAATTACTTTATTGAAGTGAATATATTAGCATTTCCATTAACAGGACAATATTTACAAGTCAAATCCATAAATTGACACTTGCATTTTATCAAAAAAAAAAAAAAAAAAAAAAAAAAAAAAAAAAAAAAAACCGTTGCACTTCAAACTTTCGAGGGACCTATTATGCTCCTCAAATTACGAATTTGATAACATTGTATCATTCTCTATACTAGTAATAACTGCTTTTTTTGTATTTTGACATTTATATGCAAAATATATACTTGAGGCGGTATAAGTATAATTTTTGAAATAGTAACTTTTTACATTTTTCAACTATTTAATAAGCATTTAATCGATCTAATTTTATAAGTTTAAATGTTCAATAAAATAATTTTTGCAAGTTGAAATACTTAATAGATATAATTTTATAAATTAAAGTGTTCAATAAATCAATATAAAAATTAAGGGTGCCACAAAATTTTTTACATAAAAATATATAGGTGAATTTATCCATTTGCCAACAATTACACTATATATAAAATATTTGCCAACAATTACACTATATATAAAATATGTAGGTGAATTTCTCTATACACAAAATTGTTTTTTTGAAAAAAAAAAGATTTATTGTACAAGTAAAATATTGATGTATAAAAAAAGGAATAAAGGTCAATCTGGTTCCTGAACTTGTTTAGCAGAATAAAAAAAGGTCAAATTTGACTTTTTACTCCAATTTAGCCCTTAAACTTGTATAAAATAATTAAAAACATTCGAGTTTACTTTTTAGGCTAATTTAACCCCTTATTTAAAATGATTTAAAAAATCATAATTGACATTTTGAGTCAATTTAACCTCTAATTCATCATTGTACTTATAATGTGAAAAATCAGTATAATTAAAAAAATCATACTTGATATTTTGAGTCAATTCAACTTCTAATTATTCATTGTACTTACAATGTGAAAATCATTATATAAACATTTATTAAAATTGTAGTTGGAATTGTTTTTTAAAAAATTAATTAATTATAAAATATAATTAATTAATTAAAATATTAAAAATGATATATGAAGTATATTTTGTAATTTTCCTTTACCTTGATTGATGGTTTTGATTTATAAATAATGTATTAATTTGAACATTTTTAAAATTAATCTCAATTATTGGATTATAGGCTTTGAAAATCTATACATTTTTCAATATTGAATAGAATTAAAGTTTTAAAGCATGTTTTATAAATTTTTATGTTATAGATGAATTTTAAATTTATACTTA